TTATCTTCAGGCCAGCTGTCTCTAGTTTATCCCGCCATCTCTCCAGTCTACTCTGGACCTCAAGCGCATCTTTCCCGACAAGAACAATGTCGTCGGCGAACAGCATACACCAGGGTGCTTCCTCCTCTATAACTTCAAAAAATAATATGTTACCTTCAGAACCCAAAACTTCTACGACTTAAAATATGCAACCTCTTTAACTTAACCCTTAAATGCATGATGATGCATTAATACATCAATCTTTTCTTCCTTACACAATAGACTATTTGAAAAATCACTTTATTTTTCTTTATTTTTCCCTTTACGTTCAATTTACCTGTTTTAATTTATGGTATTTAAAACGAAAAAATCGTGTATTTAAGGGTTAAAGAAGTAATCTCTGTATTGACCCTCAGTAAGTTATAAAAATATTTCCACAACCTCTATAATATAAAATTGTTTGTCAAGGGGTCATTTTGAACGAGTGTGCGAAACAAAATGTCACGGTATTTATTGCTTGCACGATCATTGATAGAGTAAGGTAACAACATAAGAGATAACATATACTCCTCTCTATTTGTCATTGAAAAACAAATCGATTTAGAAATTATGATCAAAAGAGAGTTACAGACTTTTTTAAGTAGAAATCTGCAATGTGCAATGTGAATAATCATACTTCATACTAATATTATAAATGCGAAAGTTTAGATGGATGGATGGATGTTTGTTAGAGTTTGTAGCTTAAACGGCTGAACGGATTTTGATGAAATTTGGTATGGATGCGGGGGATAGTCTGGAAGAACACATAGGCTACTCACTTTTGTTTTTTTTAATCCTACGCAGACGGAGTAGCGAGCGAAAGCTAGTTAAATATTATTATTTAAATTTCAGTATCTACTAATCATTCTGACGCTGAGTAAAAATAGGAACAAGGGTACATACATATGTACATACCTCCCTCTATATTAACCTATCCCTAACATAGACCTTTGATAACTTAAAACCTTTATAATTTAAAATATTCAGTGTTTCCCTTGGACTTTACCTTATCAAAGTTGTACTGTACTTCTATTTTATTTATTACCCAACTGACAGATAGTTCATACTTGGCATACAGTAGGATATAGCGCTGGACTGGTATACAACTGTTTGAATACTAGCC